CGCGGGGAGAGCGCGAGGCGCCGCCGCGGCTCCCCTGCGGGTCGCACCTCCAGTTCCGCTTCACCCCCTCACCGCCACCCTCCTTTCTCCATCTCCGCAGGCCCTCGCCCCGTATGTGAGCATCTTGCGGTCACAATTCTGATGACATTAGAGCCAATTAGCCCATTGTATAGATGGGGAAGCTGAGGCCTAAGAGTAGGGTCTGACTTGCCAGAGGGCACGCGGGAGACCAGTGGCAGGGTGAGAGTTGGAGGGACTTGGTCTTTGACTTACTGGCTTGTGCCCTTTCTCCAGGACTTTGAGAGAGGAGACTTTCAGTTTTGGCTTTGTTCAGGACTCAGACTTGGACCTCCCGGCATCATTGACCATTTCTTACCGCGGGACCCTCTGGGCGCAAAGGGCAGTGATGCATACATACCCATTATATGCCTGGTTCCTCTCCATTTCCTCAGCAGATGAGGAGATTTCCCACTTTACCGATGGGAGAAGGAGTTACCTGGAGCTGTTTTGCGAGTTACTGGCAGAGTTGACTCTACAACCTGGGGTTTTAGTCGCTGAGCTGAGGCAGTGGTTTCCTAGCTACACCTTGTCTGGGCTCACTTACCCTGGGAATGTCAGTCTTCAGCTCCAGAAACTTCCCAGACTCATTGCCCTTCTCTCAGTTCTCCTGCTGCTGCCTAAGGCCTTTTCCACCCTTTTTATTGGCTCCTGGAGTCCCATTTCCTACTAATGCATCAAGATGCTGCCACCAGACTGTCATTTCTGTGACTCTTGTCCTTAGAGCTGGAGGTGGTGGTGACCGAGGAACTGGGGAAGGAAAGACTCTTACTTTGTTGTCCAAAGCTGCAACCCTGCAGAGACCTGAACTCTGTAGTTCTGGGTGGGATTGGGGACTGTTGCGGTGAACATACTGGACGCTAAAGTGAGTCTTTGTTCTTTGCAGTGGTAGTGCTCAGAAAAGCCTTTTTCCTAGATTATCTTGGAAATGTGATTCCATGCCTTTATAATTTCCATTAAGTAGCACATTTTCATTGTAGACTTTCTGAGCAGTTTCTGCCGCTGTTTTGCAGGTAGCAATAGCTGTGATTTGTTGCTTGGCTTCATATGCTGGGCACTGTTCTAGGGCTTTCTGAACATACCGAATTTTGTGAACATGTCCAAATAGGCGATGATCCCATTTTACAGATGAAGTGAGTTGCAGAGGTGTTAGATAACCTGGCTAGCGTCACACAGCCAGTAAGTGACCAAGTTTGGTTTTTTTTTTTTTTTTTTTAAACGGAGTCTTGAACTGTTGCCCAGGCTGGAGTGAAGTGGTGTGATCTCCGCTCACTGCAGCCTCCGCCCCCTGGGTTCAAGCAATTCTCCTGCCTCAGCCTCCCCAGTAGCTGGGATTATAGGTGCCCGGCACAACGCCCGGCTAATTTTTGTATTTTTTAGTTCAGACGGGGTTTCACCATGTTGGCCAGGCTGATCTCGAACTCCTGACCTCAGGTGATCCACCCGCTTCTGCCTCCCAAAATGCTGGCATTACAGGCGTGAACCACTGTGTCCAGCCGCAAGTGAGATTTCTAAGCCATCAGTCTCATTTAGAAGTCAAGGTGCTTTTAACTGTGTGATACTGCCTCTCAGACCCTTTAGTTTCCCAAAGGTGCTGGACCTTAAGAATAATTTCTGATGCTTGTTAAAAATACAGAGCTCCACCTCTAGAGATTCCTGTGCTATTGTCTGGAGGAGGGCCCAGAAATCTATTTTTAACGAACGCACTGGGTGATTCTTACTGTAAGGCAAGTTTGGGAAACACCGCCTGTAGGAACTTTGTAGATTTGCTAGGGCACTGGTAGCTTGGAAGTGAGATTGTTCCTGAGGATTCTTGTTTTCTTTTTGTTTATTGCTTTGAAATTTGTTAATTTGCCCTTAAGAGGCCTTTGGGTTAGCTAGCCGTATGAATCATTTCTGGACACTGTTGGCCAGTAATAGTAGGGGTTTTCCAGGCTGACAAAATCAGATCACTGAAGACCTGGCTTAATGGATTTAGCTCTTTTAATCCAGCTGGATCTCTGTTGTGTGGAAATTCTGTTAGAAGTGTCCTTGAGAGATGTGGCGTTTCCACAAGGTTTTGGTCTGTTCCCAGGTGCTTACCGAATGAGAGAGAGGCGTCTAATGGCAGCCCTGTCTGAGGTTTTGCTAGGTTTAAAGGCGTGTTTACTTAGTAGGTGCTCCTTCCAATTCATATCTCATCTCTTTATCTTCTTTTACTGGTTTATGTGAAAGACTAAGCAAATATCAAACAGGTTTGTCTTGATTTAGCCGAGGCTGACAAGTAGGACCCCTGGGGCTTAGGATGGGCTGGAGAGGGAGTCTCCCCAGTGAACGTCAAACAGATAGCTCAGGCAGGTAGACCTACCTTTGAAGACCTGTAAGTATTTTCAGTCCCGCTACTGATTTATCTGGTCCCACCTCAAGCAGGATTACAACTAGTCACAGGTAAAGTTAGCATTATAGGATTACTTTATTCTCCTGTCTGGTAAACACTGATTTCTAATTTATTTTCTTTTAAATAGAGAACATATTTCCCTGTTAAATTTGCTGAGACTTGTTTTATGGCCCAGAGTATGGTCTATCTTGGTAAATGTTCTGTGAGCCCTTGAGGAGATTGCATATTCTGCTATTGCTGGATCAAGTGTTCTATAACTTTCAATTCAGGCAGGTTAGTTTGTAATGTTCAAATCTTCTGTGTCCATACTGGTTTTTGGTCTTCTGTTCTCTCAGTTATTGAGAGAGGGACATTGACACTTCTGATTATAATTGTGGATTTCTCCATTTCCCCTGGTAGTTTTATCGGGTTGTGTTTCACATGTTTCGAAGCTCCGTTGTTAATTGCACAAACCTTTATGAGTATTATATTCCATGTATGAATTGACCTTCTTTGTTGTATTGTATTAGGCTGTTTTGCGTTGCTATAAAGAAATATCTGAAGCAGACGATTTATAAAGAAAAGAGATTCATTTGGCTCACGGTTCTACACGCTGTACAAGAAACATTGCATCAGCATCTGCTTCTGGTGAGGACTCAGGAAGCTTTTACTCGTGGCAGAAGGTGAAAGGGGAACAGGTGTGTCACACAGCCACAGAGGGAGCAAGAGAGATGCCAGGCCCTTTTAAGCAACCAGCTCTCATGTGAACTAAGAGAGCGGGAACTCATTACTGCGGGGAGGGCACCAAGCCATTCATGAGGGATCTGTCCTGTGACCTAAACATGTCTCACCACTAGGCCCTACCTCCAACATTGGGAATCAAATTTTAACGGATTTGGAGGGGGCAGATAGCCAAACTATATCATTTACCATGAAATGACCCTTTTAGCCCCAGGAAATGTTCTTTGCTCTGAAATCTACTTTGTCTGATATTAGTATAGCTAATCCAGCTTTAAAAAATGAGTGTTAGGAATTGATTTCCAGAATATGTAAACAACTTCTGCTACTCAGCAACAAAAAACACAACCCGATTCAAAAATGGGTGAAGGACTTGAATAGATATTTCTTCGAAGAAGATACACAAATGGCCAATAAGTACATGAAAAGATGCTCAACTTCACTAGTCATTATGGAATGCAAATCAGTACCACAGTGAGCTACCACTTCACCTATTACGATAGCTATTATTAAAACAAACAAGCAAACAAAAAAAACCAGTAAATAATAAATGTTGACAAGGATGTAGAGAAATTGAAACCCTTGTGCTTTTTTGGTGGGAATGGAAAATGGTATAGCCAGTGGAAAACAGCATGGCAGTTCCTCAAAAAATTAAACATGGAATTGCCATATCATCTAGCAATTCCACTTCTGGGTATATACCCAAATAAGTGAAAGCAGACACTTGAACAAGTATTTGTATACCCATGTTCGTAGCAGCATTATTTACAATAGCCTAAAAGTTGGGAACCACGCAAGTGTCCATGGACAGGTGAATGGCTAAGCAAAATGTGGTATATATATTAGATAGAATATTATTCAGTCTTAAAAAGGAAAGAAGACTTGATATATCCTGTGATATGGGTGAACCTTGAAGACATTATCCTAAGTGAAACCAGCCAGTCGCAAGAGAACAAGATTGTTGTATTCCTCTTACATGAGGTTCCTAGAGTGGTCCAGTTGTAGAGACAAAGTGGAATGGTGGTTGCCAGACAATGGCAGAAAGGGAGAATGGGAAGTTAGTGCTTAATGCGTACAGAATTTCGGCTTAGGGTGATGAAAATGTTCTGGAGAGGAATGGTGGTGATGGTTATACAACAAAACAAATGTATTTAATGTGAAAGAACTGTATACTTAATGATTAAAATGATAAATTTTGTGGCGTATAACAGGGTTTTTAAAAATAGAAGATTTAAAAATTATAGTATATCTCTTAAAAAGTGTTTTTACTTCTAAACAATTTGTGTCTTTATATTGAAAGTGGGCTTCTTGTAGGCAGCATATAGACGGGTGTTTTTTTTTTTTGTTTGTTTTTTTGAGACAGAGTCTCCTTCTGTTGCCCAGGCTAGAGTGTAGTGGTGTGATCTTGACTCACTGCAATCTCCTCCTCCTGGGTTCAAATGATTCTCATGCCTCAGCTTCCTGAGAGCTGGGATTATAGGCATGTGCCTACCATGCCCAGCTAATGTTTTGGTATTTTTAGTAGAGACGAGATTTCGCTGTGTTGGCCAGGTTAGTCTTGAACTCCTGACCTTAAGTTATCTGCCCACTCCTCCCAAAGTGCTGGGTTTACAGGTGTGAACAACTGCACCTGGCCGGGGGTTGCTTTTTAATCCAGTCTCACAAGTTGCATTTTAATTGGGATGTTAAGACTATTTAGATTTAATGTGATTATTGATACGGTGAAGTTTAAATCTACCTTCTTGCTGTTTGTTTTCAATCTGTCCCATGTGCTTTGTTCCCTTTTTCCTTTCTTATGACTTCTTTGGGATCGAGTAATTTTTATGATTCCATTTTGTTTCCTTTGTTGGTTTATTCTAACACTTTTTTTAGTGGTTGCTTTAAGATATATAGTATGCATCTTTAATTTGCCACAGCCCGTCTTCAAGTGATGTCATACCACTTTAGTGTAAGAATCTTGCAAT